TTGCCTGCATGTAGGTAAGTGCACCCATGTTGTGCAATGCCCTCGGAGGTCAGAAGAGGCTGTTAGATCCCCTGGGACTGGAGTTACCAACAGTTGTTAGCTGCCGTGTGGGTGCTGGGATTCAAACCCGGGTCTTCTGCAAGAACAACCAGTGTTCTTAACCACTGAGCCATCTCTCCAGCCCCCCAACTAGGTTTCTTTAAGGACAATATTCAATTCTGATCCCTACATTAATACTACCAATACAAATAATCTACAGATGGATTATTGGTATAAACGTAAAAAGAATGGAAAAATGAATGTACAAGAAGAAAATGGTAATATTTTGATGACTTTGGAGAAAATTGATTTATTAAACAGATCACAGTGTTAAGCATGAAGGGAACTTACAGGCTGCTTTAGAATTCAGGAATTCTATTCACAGTGTAGAGTGATAAAGTCATCAAATGGGAGGAACAAAAATTCACTGAGTAGTATGCTTTTGCTATTTGTGCTTTTCTACATGCATACTGTAAGTCAATAAAAATTTTAGGGGCTGGGTACATAGCTCAGTCAGTAAAGTGCTTGACTTGTAAGCAGGCAGACCTAAGTTTGATCCCTAGAGCTACACATGTAAAAAAGTCAGGTATGATGTAGTGTACTTGTAATCCCAGTGCTGAAGAAGTGGAGGCAGAAGTATCCCTGAGACACACTAGCTTCAGGTCACTGAGAGACCTTGCTCAAAATACCAAGGTAGACAATGCCTGATGAATGGAACCTGAGGTTGACCATGGTCCTTCACATGCACCTGAACATACACAGAGGGACATAATGAACATACACAAAAAAAATTATAAATGTAGAGGCATGGTGGAGGTGAATACATTATCATGATGCTCTTCATATCTTTTAGACATTGGCTACAGACTTACCACCAATAGTTATACAAGAAAAAGATAAAGTTGCAAGTTATATATATTCATGTGCCCATACATAAATTAACCAACTGTTTAGATACAACCTCCTACATTGAAATAAGGTATTTCTCAAAACAAAAGAAAAAAAAAGGTATTTCTCACAAAAGTCTTCATGAAAAGAAGCTACCTTTAGAATAAACTTGGCTCCTGATAACATCAAGACAACCCTCTGCAATTGCTTCTTACGTTAATGCTCAATGTACAGTGATGAACTCTTATCAGAGCACAACTGGATAAAAGTAATTGGGGATTGAAGAGTACAGAGCAATTCAGTCTGCATACCCAGATGCTCTACGATGATATGAACTGATAAAAAAATGTTGATCAAAATCCCATCTCAACGTTCTACTACATATATCATGATTAAAATAACTTTTGATAGTCACTATAGTCAAGGTATGAGCACTCATAAGGCAGACTCAAGTAGTAACAAAAAGGGAATCCCATGCTTAAAGGATTATATGTCAATGATATTAAGTAATGGATCACAAACCAACCTACATTTCTCCTACCTACCCAGTTCAAACACAGACAGAGGTTTCTTTTGTCTTTTTTTTTTTTTGTCTTTTTTTTTTGGTTTTGTTTTGTTTTTCTGGTAATTCAGCAACCAAAATGTTAAGACTGCTAAAGTTTACTTACTTAACTTGAGCCTCTGGCACTTTTTCCTTAACAAGATAAGTGTAAGCTTCTTTCTAAGCTCACAAGCATAGTCAGTAAGTCAATGCAAAGAAAAGAGCTGCTAGAAGTAGACAGCTTTAAGGAACAACAGCTAAGTTGATGGAAGAAACAGCAAAATGCAGAAACAAAGACTCCAAACACAAGTCTTATGGGGCCATGTAGCCAAAAGTACTATGGTACTTCAAGAGTCTCAAAGGACAGCCACTGCACAGTGCATATATTCATAGACTCAAGAGTCAGAGTAAAGTCATTGATAGGCACCACATTATGCTATGTGTAACCTCTTTTTGGTTAAGCAAGTCATCCAAAGTGTCTAAATACCATTTATTTTGGACTAAAATTAGCACTTAATTTATAAGCTTCATTTATACAGAAGGTTGCAATCCACAATAAGTTCTGACTGAAGCAGTGCAGGTGATGAAAGAATTTTAAGTTAGTACAGATATTTGTACATACAAAATATAAGGTCTTTATGCCTTGAATCACACCGAAGAAATGAGATGCTGTTCTAATTTGAAATAGTATTGAAGTTCTGAAACACTATTTTGTCCTATAAAAATGAATGTTATTAAAATATAAAATCATTTGTTTCTATCGTATTTAATTCATCAGACACTTTCTTCTTGAATCATTCTTGTCAGTCTTTTTTATTTACAAGATGGGAAAATTATAACTTTATGCGGAAAGTTTCTCTTTATTATTGGCTTAAAAGTTAGAGGGATATTGTTTTAAAATGTTTATTCAGTCGGGTGTGGTGGCGCACGCCCTTAATCCCAGCACTTGGGAGGCAGAGGCAGGAGGATCTCTGTGAATTCAATGCCAGCCTGGTCTACATAGTGAGTTTCAGGACAGCTGGGGCTACAGGGAGACCCTGTCTCAAAAAGACCAAAAAAAAAAAAAAGTTTATTCAAATTATTAAACATAAATGTTTTAATATTTTGTAAAACATTGCAAGGGATGTTAGATTTTAATTGCTTTTGTCAACAGAACTAAAAATTAAAGAAATATATCATCTTAAAATATAAGCTTAAAAACAAAAGAAAAAATGTCCAACATCTGAATTTGAATGTATAAAAAAAATGGGAGTTAAAAAAAACCTGAAAAAAATCCTTACTTTAATTTTTCAAAGTTCTAAGTAATAAAGAATTCATATACAAAATAGTAGTTTGTACACAGCCAAAAATCAACCGAAGAATATTTTGGAGCTGAGTGTGGAAGATTTAGAGTCATCAAATGACGTACTTTCTCACCACTATAATCTATGAAATAGTAAAACAGCTATAATTTTATTTTCTAAAACTTTAATTGCTAAGTGCCATACAAATACTTTTAGTATACAATATATAAATTATACACACAATCATAATGAACCAAAATTCAATTCAACTGTTTTCTTTACTATTCTACATAACCAAACAGTCTATTTCTAAAATTTAAAACAGTAAAAATGCTGCACTTGCCTAAGGCTTTATACCTACAAAACCGTGTTTTATGATAAAGCTTTGAACCTAAACTGAGACTACATCTAATTTGTTTAAGGGAAGGAAAAGGCATTATTTGTGCAAGTGTAATAAGATAATAGGATGATACATGATACACAGTAGTGGGGCTTTGTTTTTGTTTGTTATGGTTTTATCAATTGCAACTTTTCAGAACATCAGTAGAGAAGCACAAAATGAAGGCATAATTCAAATACTTTTGTTTAAAAAAAATGCATATGCCTCATTTAGCTGCTGTAAACGCATGTCCACCATTATCATCCTGCTCATATTTAGAAACATTAAAAGCTAAATGTAGCCCGTGTGGTAGTGCACGCCTTTAGTCCCAGCATTCAGGAGGCCGAGGCAAACCGATCTTTGTGAGTTGGAGGCCAGCCTGGTCTACATAGTGAGTTCCAGGCCAGCTGGGGCTACAGGGAGACCCTGTCTCAAAAAGAACAAAAAAAAAGAAAGAAAGAAAGAAAGAAAGAAAGAAAGAAAGAAGGAGGGAGGGAGGGAGGGAGGGAGGGAGGAAGGAAGGAAGGAGGAAGGAAGGAAGGAAGGAAGGAAGGAAGGAAGGAAGGAAGGAAGGAAAGAAGGAAGGAAAGAAGGAAGGAAAGAAAGAAAGCCAAATATGAACACATTTAAAATTTTGAATGAAAATTAGTAATTTTAAGTCTATTACTTGAAATTACCAATGATCTAGTCCAACATTACTGTAAGGTGACAAAATCAAAAAATGGGAAGGTGGTATAGGTATAGCTTAGGTGTAATTTTGCTTTGGAACCATCCTCCTTTATTAAAAAAAAATTTAATAGCTACAAAATAAAGGTAAGACTATCCGGATACTCAGCTTATTGCTATTTATAAATTTTTTGCCTCAATATTAAACAATCTAATAACACCTATTTGCCACAAAATGTTACATCCAACACAGCACAAGTAGATTCTGTATCTTTTTATTATTTATAGCTCAAAGTGCTACAACTGTGAGTGCATTCATTATAATCCAAGTTTTTAAAAGTTGCTCAGATATTGAATATAACTCCTAGTACAAATATCTGTATTCTGTTTAAGATGCTAGACACAGTTTAACACATAAATTGCCAAGGAGGAAAAAACTTCATTATTATCTGATTAGAGGATTATCACTGGTTGACAATTAGTTTGAGGCAACAAAGTATAAGAGCATTTAATGGTTCAGAGTAGCTAAGAAACAGATGCCTAGAATTTTATAAGACAAAGAAAATATATCAGTTTTTTCAAAATCAGTTCTCTCTGAACATTATTAGATTTATAAACAGTGATTATTTCTCCTGCTTCTGCACATCCTAGAGGAAAGGGAAACTGCATCTACATTGAGAAACATATGCGGAAAGGCAAACCTTGGAGTAAATTATCGACGCGAGGGCTAGAAGCCTGCACAGCCCTGCAAGCGGCACTGTAGCTGACCATAGCGCACACACTCGCTGGCATGGATAAGTGTGGAATGCAAATACATGTCCACAAGCGAAAACAACAAAACGCACTCCGATCTCGGGGCAAGTCGGTGGACGATCTCCCACCACCAGAACCGAAGCCGGTGCACAGCTCTTCTCCCGGCCCACCTCCACCACTCAGACGCCAGACTGCACATTCAAAACAAACCCTCCCCTGCTCCGCCCCGAGCCCCCACCACAGGGCCCCCACCACAAATAGCCGTCTGCGGAAGTCCAAAGGCGGTGGCGAGTGCCGGGCCTCCGCGGGGTGCAGTCGGGGTTCCTCTGCAGGGCCCTGGGCGCCCGCGGACACGCTGGACCCGGCGGGTGCAGAGGCGCGGCCGCAGCCCCGCAGCCCGGGACCTCCGCTAGCCCCGGGCCTCCGTCAGTCAGGCGCCGCAGCCCCTCACCTGCACACAGTGATGAGGTTCCTCCTCTCCACCGCCGCGTTGCGGGCACTGAGGTTCTTCTTGATGCCGCCGCGGCTCCCGCTCAGACCCCCCAGGCTCCGGGAGGCCATGGCGGGCTCACCCCCGCGCCCCCTTTGTCTCCAAGCGGCCCCGCACGCCTCCTGCACTGGTGCCCCGCGGTCCTCACTCAGTACGCCTCCGCCCGAGGTGCGGAAGGGATGGAGAAAGGAGCCGGGAAGCAGGCGGGGTGTGGAAGGCAGCGGGACCAGTGCCCGGCGCCCAGATTCCACACGCGCGCGCTCACACACACAGGCACGAGCCACCTCCGCCCTCGCGCGCGCCGCCGGCCACCGAGCAGAGTGTGCGGGTTCCGGGTCCCGCGCTCTGTGGCTTCCCCCGGGACCCGGCACCCGCGCGCGCGCGCTCCAGCGCGCTCCCGCCTGCCCCGCAGTCCTAAGCACCCGTTGTACCTCCCGCCCCACCAAGGCCGCAGAGGTGAGGCCGGGAGCCTCGCGCACGCAGCCCAGCCCTCGCGGCACCTATGGGAACAACTCCGTGCCAGCGGAAGCCAATCATGGCAGGCGGGGGCGGAGCCAGCAGCGAGGCCCTTTAAAGCCGCACACTGAAGCCACGCCCTGGCGCGTGGGCAGCTGTCAAGACGCCGGCTGTGCTGCCAGCAGTAACTACAGTAGCACACAACAGAGCGGCTGGAGGTTTGGGCGGGAGTGTGGACGCTGGGCCTCGGGGCGCGGGACATTGGCTCTTGATCCCACAACACGCCTGAGTCTCACGGTTTCTTGACTGATTCTAGGCCTGGGGCTCCCATAGCCTCAGGGCGACAATGGCACAGTGGGGCCCAGGCTGGGGGCCTGATTACCAAGAAGGGGAGGGGGTTCCTTTGGTCCCAGCGCCCTGGAGCCTGACACACAGCGACACAATAGCCTCGGAGAATGGGCCGGTGGAATACTCTGCGGGCGTCTGCTTGGGTCTGAGTTCCTGACCCAGTGTCGCGGCATTCCCACTTCAGACTCCAGTTCAGCCTGAAACCCAAGCGAGCACTGTGTGAGCGTGCAGCCTAGGCCAGACCCGCAGTGTCCTCAGACCTGGGCAGCGGGGTGGGAGCCTTGGGGCGCTTCGGCCTGCGCGTCATGGGGCAGCTGCCCTGGAGACCGGGAGGCGTGTGGGGGACAGTGATCCACGTGGCACAGCTTCTCCACCTTCTGTGTGGCCTTACCAGCCGGGTGCTCCAGGCTGGAGGGGTTCACCGCAGATGGCGGAGACCGCCCTTAAGTCAGCCTGTGCTGACTAATGGGTGAATCCTTGGTGACTTCCATCCACCCAACCCAGCATAGTGCTGTACCTAGAACGTGTTCCCAAACGCTCCTCAGCTTTGAGCTCAGATTGAACTGTTTTTACTGAAATTTCACTTTTAGTGGTTCCCAAATTTATATAACTTCCACCTATGGTTTTGAAGTTTGTTGAATGCTGTAGAATATATAGCTTAATGCAGGTATTTCTATACTTACAGAAATATAGGAGATACTATTCTGTCCTGGATGGCTTATGTATTTATTTATATATTATTTGCATGTATTGCCTGCATGTATGTAAGTGTACACATGTCATTCAATGCTTGCAGAGGTCAGAAGAAGGCCTCATCCCCTGGAACTGGAGTTACTGATGGATGTTTGCTGCCATGTGGGTACTGTACTGGGAATCCAACCTTGCTCCTCTGCAAGAGTAGCCAGTGCTCTTAAACACTGAGGTTTAAAAAAAAATTTTAATCTATAATCATCAGGGCAAAGACTAAATTGTTTGTGTGTTTGTTTGTTTGTTTGTTTGTTTGAGACAGGATCTCCCTGTAGCCCCATCTGGCCTGGAACTCCCTTTTTAGGCCAGGCTGGCCTTGATCTCACAGAGATCTTGCAGAGATCTTAGCCTCCTGTGTGCTGGAACTAAAGGTGTGCACCATCTCACCCCACAAAGACTCACTTCTTTCAGCTGTTAAGTCTAAATGTTGTAATAAAAATGTATGTATAAAAATATGTATCTTAAGTTACTGCAGTAAATACTCATGCATTAGTATGCTAAAAAAATAATTTAGACTATAACCTTTTTCTTGCACAGGACTAAAAGGTGAGTTTACCACATCCAGGTATATGTGACTAGTCAAAGCACATGCTCTCTAACATTTCTTGCCCGATCAACTGACAGATGTTTGTAAGGAAGCTTCCCCTGCTAAGAGCTATATTTTAACTTGTCTTTTCTCCCTAACTGAATAGCATGAATTCAGAAGACTCTATTAGGAAACAGATGCACTGGCTATATGCAGCTAGTCTCCGCAAAATATTTACACTGGCAAGGACAAATAATACTCAAATTGGCATTGGTATTTTTTTAATTGAGCTTTTAAAATTTCATACAATATTTCCCACTCACATCCAGACCCCCTCCCCCATCCATGCCTTCCATAGACTACAACTGAGCATGGAAAACAGCAGCAAACTATTACTTAATAAGAAATTATCTAAGCCGGGCATGGTGGCACATGCCTTTAAGCCCAACACCTGGGAGGCAGAGGCAGGCAGTTCCAGGCCAGCTGGGGCTACAGGGAGACCCTGTCTCAAAAAGACCAAAAAAAAAAAATTTGATTTTCTGGCATCAAATCAATTTACATGTTATTTTTTTATTTTATTTATTATTTTTATTTTATGTGTATGCGTGTATTGCCTGCATGTAGGCAAGTGCACCCTTGTCGTGCAATGCCCATGGAGGTCAGAAGAGGTTGTCAGATCCCCTGGGACTGGAGTTACGGACAGCTGTTAGCTGCCATGTGGGTGCTGGGATACGAACCTGGGTCTTCTGCAAGAACAACCAGTGTTCTTAACTGCTGAGCCATCTCTCCAGCCCTGTTACATATTATTTTTACTATTAAGTTGTATTATGACTGAAGGCAGTAAAATTCCATCTTAAATTATTAGGTAATAATGTTAATTTCCATTGCTTTTAGTGGGATTCATTTCATGCAGTGGTACTTGCTTAGCAATCTTTCTTTTTCTTTTCTGTCTTTTGAGACAGGTTCTCCCTGTAGCCCCAGTGGGCCTAGAACTCATTGTATAGACCAGACTGGCCTTGAACTCATAAAGATCTGCCTGCCTCTGCCTCCTGAGTGCTGGGATTAAAGGCGTGCACCACCCTGCCCAATAACAATCTTTTCCTATAAGATAAGCAATTATTTTCTTTTGCCATGTAGAGTGTGTCATTAAACTGCCACCTGGGGGCCTTATTTGAAAGGCTTTTTTCCTCACTTATCTGGAGTGGTATGTCCTGAGTCTCTTTTCCACATTACTAATCTGGAAACAATAAATGGAGGAGATTACCAGTCAATCATATCTAGCATATAGCATAGAACTGGATATAATTATAAAAACTGGATATACTATAGTTATAGTACAGGACTACTATAGAGTTTCCATGAGTTTTAATACTATTTTTTTAACTTCTTTTAGTAACTTCTCAATTTGTTATTTCAGCATTTGCAGAATATTTAAATGTAGAGATTTAAATTTACTATGGGGGCTGGGGAGATAGCTCAGTCAGTAAAATGCTACAAGCATGAAGACCTGAGTTCAACCCCCAGAACTTACATTTGAAAACCTGGCATGGTGGCATGCTTGTAGCCCAGCCCAAGAGAGGTGGAGACAGGCAGATCCCAGGGGCTACTATCTAAGCAATCTAGCCTAGCAAGCTCCAGACCAAGGAGAGCCCGTTTTTTTTGTTTGTTTGTTTGTTTGTTTTGAAAAGAAAAAAAAAAAAAAAAAAAAAACAAGGTAGAGAACTCATGAAGAACTACAGATACCTGGACAGCCAAGGTTGTCTCCAAATGCATTTGCACATACATGCACCCACACAAATTGCACCCTGCTACACATACAAACACACATACAATAAAAATAAAAAGATTCACTAAGAATCACTAGACACACAATCCAGCCTAAAGGAATTCTACAGTGTTGATACCATTCTTATTCTCTTCAACATTCTCCTCCTCAAAAGAGAGAAAACTACAATTGTAATTTCATGTAACACATAAAAGTCCTCAAGTACAAAATTCTGTAAGCCAGAGAGATTTCCAAACATACCATAGTTTATTTATTTATTTATTTATTTTGGTCTTTTTGAAATAGGGTCTCCCTGTAGCCCCAACTAGCCTGGAACTCGCTATGTAGACCAAGCTGGCCTTGAACTCACAGAGATCTGCCTGTCTTTGTCTCCCGAGTGCTGGGACTAAAGGTGTGCGCCACCACGCCCGGCTGAAGATTCTCTTATTAGGCTCATTCAGTTTGTTGGCACAGTTACTTGAACATGAAGGAGTAAAGTATTTTACTTCTGAATAGCATAAGGCATCAAAACCTGCACATACTTCAAATTTCTAATTTCTACCCCACTTACTGGAGAAAAATCTGCCTTTAAAGGGTTCCATGATTATCTTTGGTACCACTAAATAACCTGCAGCCTCCAAATCAACTATTTGGTAAACAATATCAGCAAAATCTTTTGCCTTGCAAAGTGATGTAATCACAGGAGTAATAATGCCAGGTAGTAGAGATCATGAAGCCCGCTTTAGAATTCTGAGTAGCTCCAGAATATGCAGTGCTTTCTCTAAACAGCTTTATTTTGTAAAATCTGATAATCTAGTAATAAAACTAAGAGAAAAAATGCATTTGGTATTAATTTACTATGTCCGCATCTTAATTTCCCAACCCAAAATGTTTCTACCCAAAATACTATTGCTAGCTTGTATGGGGGTTAGTGCAGCTAACTTCAAATAAGCCATCAAACTCCTAGTGGTCTCTAAGGTTTGGAAGACTATTTATCACTCTCAGTTACTCAGGGTTTTGGTTTGCAATAGTGAGCATTTCTGCTTTCATAGAACTTATGGTATAGGTATGATAAAAAACAAAATACCTAAGCACATACACGTTTATTGCATTAGCTATTTTTCTCATTGTTGTGACAAAATACTTAGTGAAAGCGACTGAAGGAAAGTTGCTTAAACTTATAGTTCCAAGGTATACTGTCTTATTATGATGGGGAAAGTGTGGTGATCACATTGTATTCAGTCAGGAAGCAAAGTGAAAAAGAGCAAGAACACTGGTTCTTAGCTCACTTTCTCTTTATTCAGTCTAGATCTCAGTCTATGGAATGGTAATGCCCACATTTAGGATGAGTTTTCCTACTTCATTTAACCAAATCTAGACACACCCTCATACACACACACCCAGAGATTTGTCTCCTAGCTGATTCTAGATCTTGTCACATTAACAATATTAAGCATCACACTTATAGAATGAGATAAATTATCCAGAGGAGAAGATAGAATATAAAACAGGTTGGCAACAGAACTTTAGAAGTCACTACTCCTATAGAAGACAGTGTCAGCAGTGCCTCTGGAGTTGAACAATACTG